TAAACCAGGACCAACATTCACAAAGAACCTATTAAACTTATCTACTACATCCTCCAATCTATTAACCGGTGTATCATTATCCATAAAATATTGAGGGTAGTTACTCTTGCTGGAACTGTTTCTAATCAATTTATTTAATATATTCCAAGTACCTCTCATATTATTTTTATTATCCTCTAATACTTTAGAATAATATAGTTTCTTGCATCGCCTCAAAATCTCAATTAATTTGTTCTTATATGACTTATATTTTTCTTCCGCCTTCTGTATGGGACAATAAAACACCTTTTTACATTGTGACTGTACTTTGTTTCTAATTACAATAAAAAAACAAACTACAAACAGAATTTAAGGACAAAAAGAGCAACACAAACAGAAAATCAAAACGTGTTTCAAATCAGCTGACCATCCTTTTTTTTTTTTACATGTGGCAGGGAGTTTTTCTGGAGATGAGGTTTGTCACGTTCTCATGAACTTTTGGGTTTTTGGCTCCAAGTTAAGGGCCACAGAATGAGACCATCCAGTAGCCAGGAGTTCAAGTACCTATAGCAGAACCATCTGTCCTGCTGCCTACTGAAGTGTACTTAAATAAAAAATGACATCCCTACCAGCTTCCACTCTGACCTCCCTTATAAATGCCAGAGGAAGATCTACTCTGACTAGAGGAAATGACAAATCACATAAAAAGATGAAAGGAAAAGTCTATAAACTGAACAACTGGGCTTGCCAACATTGCTGCCCTCTTCTCTTTACTATAAATAGTTTGGTAAATATAAGTTGCTGCAGTGCATTTCAATATACAGTGTATTGACTATCGATTTCTGGGGTCTGAGGACAGTCAAATTCACAGTTTCCTCTTCTCGCCGTATGGGGTCGCCAGCGTGAGAATTTGCCAAGCGCAGTATTATCCTGCACAACAATGTCCACAAATGGCCTGTCTCTTTAAGACAGGAAATAGACTGCCTAACCCAATGAAGTCGCTTGTGAGCGCGTACCATGTTGTCTGCGCTCAGTAGACCTCTGAACAGTTTGAGGGTGTCCGGTGCATTGACTAAAGCTACAGTCGCGATGGCAGACGCTCTGGCTAAAATCCCTGATGTGGAGATTGATCCAGAGGGAACCTTTAAGTACATACTGATCAAAGTGAAAGTGAAAGATGGCGATGTGCATAAAGACATAGTCCGAGGCACAAAAAGTGCAGAGTATCACAGTAAGTTCCTTAATGTAGTTTGTTGCAAAGCCTCGTCAAGTGCGTCAGTTCAGCTTGAAATAGCGTGCAGACAGCTGACCTGTAATGTTATAGCAGCTTGGGCTGCCTTCGCCCATGACACGGATTGTTTTGGCGTGCTCCCTGCAATCATGTGCAGGCTACAGCACTGACCTGGCAGATGCAATACTTGCCAACCTATAAGCGTAATGCAAAAAATCGGAAGCTGTGGTGCCACAGTAAAATTGCTAATTGGCTTAAAGCTTAATTATTTGACTGTAGTGTCAATACATTTGATTGAGTGAGTCATTTGAATTATTTACAGATCATATATTTGACAAGGTCAGTCCAGCAATGGAGGCCTTGGGAATGGAGTGTAAATGCCTTGGAGGAGGGAAGATAGAACACAACAGCCAAGAGAAAAAACTACGGGTGTTTGGAGAATCAACTGTAAGTTCATTTCATTTGGCTTTAAAAGCTTTAAAAATAAATGCCAAAGTTATGTTTTATTGTGAAAATGTAAATGCTTTCTGACTCGTTTTCAGGGCTTTGGCAAGGCAGATCACTCAGTGTCTGCAGAGAAGTTAAAGGGTGCCTTCAGTGACTATGAGATCACCTGGTCTGTGTAAACCTTCATTTCATTTCTACAGCTCCAGTGTAAAAACACAAAAAATGTCTGACCATTCTGTTCAGCCATCATTTAAATAAAATACACCATTCTTCATTTAATTGTTTCCTTTTGATGCAGTGAAAGCACAAAAACAGGCAATATTGACACTGTTTTGGAATACAGGTTTGATCATTTTCAGACACAAAAAATGTGAAAAGCTGTGGAATGAGCCTGGCAAACATCATTTTCATTAAAAATAGAATGATTCATTTTTACTTGATGTCTGATCATTGGAGTGCCAAGCGTAAAGTCCGTACAGGAACAGTTGACTCACGTCCTCTGGAATCACTAACATATCCTGTTACCCTGGGGGAAAGCTTCCTGAGTTGAAAACTGAAACCGATAAGAGAGCTTTCACTTGCTGTTATGGTTATATTATGTCATTTGTGTGTAATGTTTATTAAAGATAACATTTAAACTATTTTCCAAATAATAAAAGCCAAAAGTAGTGTTGCAGAGAGATAAAATAGTCTGTTCAGAGTCATTCAGCAGTCAAGGCTTTCCTTCCTTTTAAAATAAACCCTTCTGCATTCCCAAAAATGCCAGTGAAACAAGTGTTACTCAGACTAAGAGCTTCTATGTCTGTGGGATCTACACTCTCCAAGGAAAAACAAACCAGCCAACTGACTCTCAGTGACAGTGCTTATTTGCTGAAGCTTCTTTGGTATAATGTTTATGTTCAGGATATTGAATTAGCGCATGCTATCAATTGCTAATTAATGCAAAGTGTGGCTGCAGCTGATTGGAAATAATGTAATTTGTGTGGCTGGTCATAAACCAAAGTATTGGACAAATTAAATGATTAACCTAATGATGGTTCTAAAAAATAAACAATGGATCTCTTTAATATTCATCCTGATAACAACATACTGTACATCTCTGTACAAGACCAATTCAATAATTGTTGAGACTCTTCATTCAAACTTCCAAGTATAAACTTCATGGTGGTGTCATGGAGGAAATGTCAGATCACTACGTGTCCATCCATTATCTATACCGCTTATTCCTGGATAGGGTCACAGGGGGCTGAAGCCGGTCCCAGCTGACATTGGGCAAGAGGCAGGGTCCACTCTGGGCAGATCACATATCACAGGGCTGACATGTAGACAAACAACCACAACCACTCACACTCACTCCTACGGGCAATTTAAAGTTGGCAGTCTTTGGACTGTGGGAGGAAGCCGGAGTGCCTGGAGAGAACCCATGCAGGCACAGGGAGAACATACAAATGCCATACAGAAAGGCCTCGGGTCAGCCAGGACTCCAACCCGGAACCTTCTCGGGGTGAGACGACAGTGCTGACCACTGTGCCGCTGCTGGTGATGCTAGAGGAAAAGATCTTCAAAGTCATTAGGATTCATCTTCTGGGCACCATGTACTGTATATTTGCACAAAATTTCATAGCAATCTAATCAATACTTGTTGAGATACTTCAGTATGTAATCAATTAGTCAAATGCAAATCCCTTGAGGAATTATTAAGAGTGTTTCGTCACTATTTGTGATCTAGAACAGTGCTTCTCAAATGGGGTGCGAGTACCCCTAGGGGTACTTTGGAATACAGCAGGGGTATGTTAGATTTTTTTAAAACTGTTTTAAAACTGTCAAACTGTGAAAGTAACAAACGCAAACACAACTGCTGTGAGCAGGAAGCCAGTTTCCATATTGACTGACTGACTGAGACTGAGAATGAACACAATTTCAGTGAATCACAAGCTTTCTCACTGTATTATAAGTGCATTTTAAAAAACCACTCAACGGCAATGATGTCTTAGTGTTATTGCTCAAAAAACCACTTAACGGCAATGATGTCTTAGTGTTATTGCATGACAAAAAACTGTTTTGTTATGAATTAAGTGGTAGCTATTGGCTACATTTGAAATATGGCATTTAAGTGTTTTTCAGTTAAAGGTTGTTGTTTTAATATATATGATACTGATAGTGCAGCAGTATTGTGTCTCTTTATACTAGGCACTGGTCAGGGCTACTTGGCTGAAAAAAATATTTAAGCATCACCCTGGACAGATGGACATTTGGACAACCCCATACCTTTAAAAGGGAGATTCCCCAACAAGAGAATGTTCAATTTTGTCTTGGATTTGGTGTTAAACATCTACAGTATTTTGCAAAAATAGGTTGATTCCTATCTGTCATGCACCACCATCATCTATGGGCTTCTAATTGGTCCCAAATTCATTCTGCAGCATGATAATGACCACAAACATACATCCAATCATCATAAAGAACTATCTACAGTGACAAGAACAAGAGCTATCATCTTTACATCACGGATTCGTCCTGGGAAGACAGTACACCTGGTATTTTCTGTTTTCTACACTTTGTAGGAAGTTAATAGATAAATAAAAACTATTAGCATCCTCTTTTTAGTTTCAGTACCTAAAATGTACGCACAGTACCTGTGTGTTATCTACAAAATACTTCCTTTATTACAAGAGTGTACATCCTTTTCCTCAGGGTTTTCCCCTGGAGCTTGTATTCCAACAGTGGCGCATCACTTTTTTTCAATTGGGATTTAATATGAACCTGGTGAGGACGTTTTCAGAGGAAGAGTGGCACATAACTCTGTAGCCAATATGACCAAAATTAGCTGCTGTTGACACAAAAGGGCATCTCCATTCACCTTGACCCTCATTACCAGACTTGACATAGACACTGGCACTGCCTGCATCCTGGCAGTTACTATATGGCTTGAAAGAAAGAAAAGCAGTTTCCATCTCAAACCTGGAACCTGTTTCCTGTAAACTGATAACCTTTCCATTATCTTCAAATGGGGAGGTCAGCTCAAGAGGGATAAGTCTTAAACAGTGTTAGACTCAACCCTCTTCTTGGAAAATGTATTTCTTACCGTCAGGACTCAGTGGCAGAGTCATTATGAGTTTGTGAAACAGAAAGCCCAATATTATTCTATCTATTTAAAGGCCTCTGTCATAATATTTACAATCACTGTATGACCCACAGAATGATCTTTTTAAAATGGCATTAATGCTTTTGAAGAAGCCTGCTTAAGATATACTTAAACTGTAAAACTAAAATGTGTCAGATTTCCAGTTGAGTATGAAGGAAACTCTCATATCTCCACTATATATTGTGATATTTCCTTCCATGCGTAAATACACTGCAGACAGGCAGTACTGCAATATACAGTATCTGAAGAGAGACAAGCATCAATGTTGTGTCCTGTTTCCTAAACAACAACTTTGTCTCTTCCTGCAGTGGCGGCAGCTAACACCTCAGCCTGGAATCAAAGGTGAACAACTTCAATGCTCAAGATCTTATCAGTGAAACAATAGCTTACCAGTCATCAACTTACATGTCTAGCCAGAGCTAGCAGAAGTTCCAGGCTCCTGAAGGACATATCACCCTTCCTTTAACCAATTTAAACATTCCTAAACATCTCAGTCATGTTCTGTAACCTGTACAGTTCTGGTAGGTGTTTGCTTTGCTTTATAATTAGAAACACATAAAAACAAAACATATGGGCAATACCAACAAGTCACAAACCATGCAATGTGGAAACTGTGATTTCTAATATTTATCTATGATATGCTTTATTTTAGCACTCTGAACCAGAGTGTGTCTCACAGGGAGCCTAGAGTGTATTTTTTAAATAAAGATGTGTTTTGCTTAGAGGGTGGTAAGTGCTTATGAAAGGCACAAAACGGAAACCTCAAGGCCATCTATGCAGCTTGATATGTCATTATTTGTATTACAGTATAAAATAAAAATATCAGTGTTTGGCATATTCTTATTCCTTTACCATTTTGTTAATCATGAAAGCCTGATTGTTTATGCCATTGTATATATATTCATTAATATAATCTAATATAATAATTTATTTTTAAACTTGTTACATCCAATACATTCACAACTGTGACATTATTTCTTTCTGGAACATGTTGCCCAGCACAAGACGGAATATATCAGTACACATAACAAAACTGCTATATCCTGTTATGTTCTTTCATGGATCTTAAGTGTGATCATTAACCTATAGGCTGCTGTTGGGTATTTTAACTTAACTTTCATCTCTAAGAGGATGTTTCATTGCTCACGAATGCATCATATTGGACGAGAAATGCTCTTTGAATTTGCACTGAAATTTGATTATAGTTTCATCATCATATTTCATCAAGCATTCATTTTGTGAGCACTATGTATCAAATTTACAATGAATTATTATTTGAATAAAATGTAACATGGGGCGATAATAATGGCCCTCGTTTCACAAATAAAATAAAAATGTTTGAATATGCATTATTCTATATTTATATTATTGAATGACATTTAATGAGGAGGCATTTGAGGCTTTATTGAAAGTATGAAGGCTATTATAAGCGGTATCGATAATGGATGGACGACGGGCTATTGCTAGTTGTTATTTTCAGCGGTTTGCACTCATGCAGTTCTCTTATTGGTTGAAAACGTTTGCGTTTTTTTAACATTTAAACCAATCAGAGTACGGGAAGATGAGTGTGGCGTACGTATACTCATAACATCATATCCGACTCAAACAATGGCGCGCGTTATGTGTGACCATAGTTAGGACGATAGTTTAATCTATTTTCTGCAGTTTAATCCTCTACAAAATTGTAATGGTGACGTTCGGAGAAACTAATTCGTAGGAATATTTTGTGTGACTTTACGCCTTTGAACAAGGGATACGGTTTTACATTTATGGTAAGAAGCTATGCACATTGTCCGATTTATCAGCTTCCCTGCTAACACGTTACTTAGCTTATTAGCAAAACATACGGTAACGTTAGCGAAGGCATTGTAAGCTATTAGTCTCAGTTATCTGCGTAACAGTCAAACAGAGCGAATTCATCACCAGCTTGTTTTACAACGTTGCATGTAACACGAGTACAAATTATCTTCTACTTGTGTGGCGTAGAAGATAATTATCTATGAATGTAATTATGTAGAATGTTAACACTCTGTAATAATTCTGTAGTATATTACTTGTGTGGTGTAGAGGATAATTATTTATCTAGAGATATTGCTTAGGTTTTAAAAGTTGTAAAATGATGTCATGGGGTAGGACTAGATAAGTCTAACTTCTTCCTAGTCCGTTCAAGCATGTACTAGGTATAAGTAAATTGATATTGGATTATTATTGTTGGATATGTGTGAAATTACATGTGTTGACATATCAACTGTTTTACATGCTTGAATGAATAAATCAAATCAAATCAAAAAATCAAATTTGAGTCAGTTCGAATTACTAACTCAGTCACATCGTTGTCGTTTGGATAGCTGTCCTGAACTGCACCGGTAACTGCTGTCATGTCCCAAAGCAACACCTCTCTCCTGGACGAGGTGGTGCAGTGGAGTCAGGAAACCTGCCGACAGGAGCTCAAGTCTGTCCTGCCAAAACTCACTATATCTTTTATGTTTTATTGCTATTTTCAAGACAGTCCACTGGTATCCTTGTCGTGTAAAGTTTTGCAATGCACAGAAGATTGGTGAAGCAATCTGTGGGATTAGCTCTGTAGTTTAAAATCCATATTATTTATAGATATGATTTTTAAAATTATGAGTAGGAAGTACACCCCTTGTTATGAATACTGAACATCAACCCTATCAAGATAGTGTTTGCTATACTTTAGGTATTTTCTTGGTGAAACTGGGCCAAATTTTATGTAACGGTCTTGCTAATCTGTCATGGTTCTTTTGCCCTATTTTTGCAACCCTTACACTTTTGGAAAGTGTATATGGTTGAAGTGAATTAGCCATTCTGGGGTTTTCTTTGACTGTTTACACTCTCTGCATCATAATTCTGAGAGCTGGGATGATCACATACGTAAGTTTTGCTGCACAGTTTGTAATGACATCCTAATTTTGAGTCATGAGTGTCATTTATCATTAAGTATGAACTTTCTTAAAACCATACAGGTATACTCAAGATAATTATAGACAAGTTCCTCCCTCATATTGGCTTGTCAGAGCTGGAAGATCAGTGCTTCTCTAAGATCTTACCAAAGGTAAACAACATAATAGGTCTGTAAATATTATGTTAATATTTGTTAAATAACACAGAGTGGCTGCAGGTCCTGGTAAAATTAAATTATACGGTGTAAACTCAAGCCTATTAAAGACTAAATTAAACTATAATAGTTTATCTGATATACACATATAAGTATTCACTTCTTGGTGAATTTCATCTTTATTTATTTTTTTCTTTATTTACATAACTTTCCATAAGAAGTGTACTGATCTGAGTTTGTGAATCTTTGTGTTTATCTTATTACCAAATGTCTACAGGCAGTGACAGTGTTTGACAGCATGATGAAAGAGATTTCAGACCAAGTTGCAGGGCTGTCGAGTCAAAACACAGAACTGTGTGCCTTTCTGAGGAACCTTCTGCAGGTACTATTAGTGCTTATTGCTGATTTGGTTTGTCCTTTGCAAGGTGGTTTATTTCAAAATGTTATCATTAGCACCTTATGAGTTTATGCTGTGCATTATATAATGCGTACTATCTAAGGGAAACAGTCAACTTGCTTCACTTCTAATCAATATTGTAACGAGATCCTGCTGTCTGTCATTTAGGCAATGATGCAGATAATTGATGCATTATCCACTATCGTGCGACATGTTGGCTCATTCGAGGAAGCCCCTGACCTGGATGCTATTCGCTCATTGCCAACATGTATACTGAAGGTCCTGAGGGAAACCTTCCAGCACTGCAAGGTCAGTCTGTTCAGTTCACCAGTGGCTGGAAAGAGTACAACTTCCAATCAGTATTTCATGCTTTTATTAATCTTAAATTATGTTGTGCAATAATTGACTGTGGTTGAATATTTTGATTGATGTTTAGAACACTGTTGTCATTATTAGTATTGATTGTTTTACTGCTTAAACAGATCTGCTTCTTTTAAGTAATGTGGTTAAAATTTATAAAAGGCAAAAATTTGTTCAAGCATACTCTGTGTGCAATCAACAGGAGAGTGAGGTGGTTTACTGTGGCCGTTTGTCTCTGGTGGCAGACCTGCTGCAGGGACTCTTCAAGGAGGCCTATTCCCTTCAGAAGGGTCTATTGGAGCTTCTGGACAGAATCTCCCTTGACGGCAGTGCCTCACAGGAGGAGGTCTCTAACATTGTTACAGGTTAGTTTGTCTGTGCATGTACAGTATCCCTCTGTGTTTCACTGCTATGCTTTGTGTTATAAAGGCTTACCATTACTGCAGGCTTCAAAGCATTGAATGTATCTTTCATCCTCCTCAGTGATTCACAGCCTGCTTGATATCTGCTCAGTTATCTCCGGTCTGGACATCGCGCTGCATGCAAACACATGGAAATTCCTCATCAGGTCAGTACAGCAGAGACTGAAGTTGACACTTATGTTTTTATTAATGTCATGCTGCCTGTCATGCTAGGTGAATCACTTTGATACTGAGTGGCTTATGTTGAATTTCCATTTCTATGTTCAGACAGAGTCTGAAGTACCAAAAATTGGTGGAGGAACATCTACATCACCGTGACATAAGCACCAGCCTGTGTGACAACCTGCTGGCTGTTCTCAACAACAGTGTAGAGCTGGCTGAACAGATAAAGTGTGCTGGTCTACAGGTAGGAAAGCTCAGATTACTAGACAGAAAACTAAAAACATATTATTTATAGCTTTTTAGCAGGTTCTCACTGTTTTTATGCCTCTGAGTTGCCAATAGCCATGACCGGAGGCATTTTGTTTTTGCATTGTCCGTCCGGCTCATCTCGTGAACGTGATATCTCAGGAATGGCTTGAGGAAATGTTTTCATTTCAGTAATGGAGTGTGAATTTACTGTTCTCAATGTAATAATTACATTTACTTGGTTTCTCAAGTACAGTGTAATACATTTTTGTCTTGACTTACCTGATACCAACTGGAGTCACTACAGGGGCGGATATTTCTGTGAATGGTAGTATTTACTGTATCCGCTGCCGGTGTATAGAAAGAATGATATATCTTTCCCATGTTCCCCTATGCGAGTGTGACATGTTTATTTAGGTAGACTTGATCTTTGCCACCTTTTGAGTTAATGTTCTTTTGTCCTTTTTAAAGGAGGCAACACAAAGCCCAGAATACAAGCTGTTCCAGAAAAGTGCAAAGATGTGCAGATTTTTTGCCAACACTTTGGTTCATTACATAAAGGTACTAAAACAGGGATATAATTGCAGCTCTCTTGCCTCTGGGTTAACCTTGGACCATCTCTATTACTGATACAGTTTTAAATTCTCTACTTGAGAATACAAACATACAAACTTAAATCTTGTTATTGTTTTAACAGGAATTCAAATTTTTTCTCACAAAGTATTGTAGCTGCTTCCACCAGCTCTACCTCCAGGTCATCAGGTATGTGTGGTTTTACGAAGCAGATTTAGACTGCAATTTATGCTCATTAATGAGCAGTGCAGAAAAATACATTGTGAACTACATGATGTCTTTTAGTAAATTCCCTCCCAGCTTGTGTGCCCCAACACTGCCCACATCTCTGTCTGAAGAGCTGAATGCAGCAGCTCTGGTTCCTATGGATGCCCTCCTGGTGCAGCTGTTGCCTTTAAGGCCATTTGCTGAAGTTGTCCTGCAGCAGAACCTGTGTGAGTATAAAGTGTGTCCTCATCTTTCCTGTGTCCCTTTGAAATGGCGATACCATTTTATAAACCTTCAGTTCATTAGCGGTATTTCTTTTCCCATGCTTATACCATTTAGTATACTATGTGTACTGATGTGTACACTGTTTTGGCTGTGCTATACAGTGCATGTTTAACCCATGACTGTGTAACAGGATAACATCAGTGCAATAACTGTAAATATACCATTGCATATATTTATCTGAAAACGTTGTCTAAAATGTGTATATACACAAATATATATGTGTATATATATTTATAAGTAGTTTTTGCCTTCTTTTTTCCATAAAAGCACATTCTTTGTCTTGTTTGCTCATTTTATTTCTTCCTCCCTGTCTTATGGAAGTACATTGCACTTGCACATTGAGAGCCATTGTAGCTGATTCTGATTCTGATTCTGATAATGATAATGCATTAAAGCGTTTAATGTAATTGTAATAGAAAAGAATATAGGTATTCCTGTCTTTTCTCATAAAACCTTTAATAAAGACTGTCGCCTCTTAGAATTTGTGGGATATTTTGGAAATGTATGACTTATTCAGGATAATTTTGATTGTATGTTCATACTCAAAAGAATCTTGACATCATATTTATTGCTGCTGACAGATACGGCAGCATTTTTTTTTCTTTACAAAGTCAGAGAATTTCCCCTTGTCTTTGTTGTCTGCAGGCTTACATCCTGAGCATAAACTTCCTCAGTGTGTTTTGTTGGTGAATGTGCTGGGTCAGCTGACCTCTCAGCCAGAGGAGACTCTGCAGCTTTGGTACACTGGCAGCCAGTTCTCAGAAGAGACGCCAAGGTGATAAGGGGTTTTTGCAATTGTTGTCATAACCTGGAATATCTAGAAATATTTGGTGCTTTAATGCAGGGCCCAGCAGTTTGCTTTTAAACTGACTGCTTGGCTGGCAACCAATTACAACCTTGTGGTTATGGACGTTGTTTAGCAGGGATATGGGAAATTGATGTTGAAGGATTATTGATTTGTTTTAATTTACAGTGTACATTTCAGTTTTCAGATTTTAAATGGAGTAAATGAGTTTCTGCTCCAGTCTAACTTAACAGTAACAGTTTTTATAATTTTTTATATTGCACTTACATTCTGAATGTTTTCATTATTTAATCATTAGGATACTTTAGCTGTTTTTATAATAATCACATCACACATCGATTAGTTTTATACAAACAGAGGAACTGAAGACTGTGTAAAGATGTATACATCATTTAGCAGTTCAGTAAAAGATTGTACATAATTAAGGTTAAGTTTCAAACTGACAATTGCTTCTTCTGCTGTAGTTACTTTTTTACACTGTCTCAATGTCTAAACCGTTTTTGGTCACCCCTTTGGTCTCCAGACTTCCTCTCTACAGAGCCTTGTTCATTAGTTTCCGTTGTTGCTATACTGAGCGCAAGGTACCTGTGCGCTTACCAGGGGTGATGATGAAGGGTCAGGCCCAGGTCCAGATCACTCTGCACCACCACATATGTGTGCACCTCTGTGCCAGTGTGGCTGCGCTTCCTCCGGTGTACTTCCCTGTGCTGGTGAGGTCTACACACATAAACACATACGTCTTATCTACCTTAAGCAATGTCAGTAGAAGTGATTTGACACCGCTAGAGGCCAGATTATATGATGCAGTCCATCACTCTCCTTCTTTGTCACATAGCAGGTACATAGCCTGAAAAACTAATGGTCCCTTTAAGCACAAACCAGAGAGGATGACGTGCTGCAACGGGATGTTGCGACAGCCATGCTGGTTGTCTGTGCAGATTCTCAGTCATCCAGGTCATAGTAAACTGAAAAAACTTAGAAAAAAATCAACTGGACTAGCTTTCTAGGTCGAAGACGTTTCACTTCTCATCCAAGAGGCAGAACTGATGAAGCCTCTTGGCTGAGAGGTCTTCGACCTAGAAATCTAGTCCAGTTGATTTTTTTTCTAAGTTTTTTCAGCCATGCTGGTTGAATGTGCCTTTAATTCTGAATAAATCACTAACAATATCACCAGCAAATCACCCACACATAATCACCTTCATGCTTCATGGTGGCAACCACACATGTAGATACCACTTGTTCACCCTAATGGGTGAACAGTAAAATAATTATGGTGTACCGGTAATCACCATAATCACAGTACGGTGTGAAACTTGAGTGCTGCTGTGTGTACTGTGTATTTATATTGGCAGATAGTTTGCAGTACATTCACATTGATATACTACATTTTATTGCCATTTGACAGTTATTTCCTGGAATTTATTGCTGTATGTTATTTACTATTACTGTCAATGTTAACAAAAGGTTATTGTCAAGCAAATAACCTTCCATAATGATACGTTTGTGTCATCATGTTACAAATTTATATTGGCCATTATGTGGTTATGACATGTTTATTTTATTCTCAAACATTGATATAGACTTTTGGCTTTTCCCATTTAGGGGTAGGCTAGTGGTTAAGGCACAGCACTCTTGCCGCGGTGCCCCGGATTCGACTCCAGGTTGTGTCAGGAAGGGCGTCCGGCGTAAAACACGTGCCAAATGTCAACATGCAAGTCGTCAGTGAGTCGCTGTGGTGACCCCTAAACGGGAAAAGCCGAAAGTGACTTTCTTTATTGATATAGACTTTGTCATAGAAAATCCTGAATTAGTTGGAATTTCATGGTTTCTTTTGATATCTAATCAGCTAATAAAAGTCCCACCATTAGCTGTTTTTGGTGCAGGATTTCCCTTCATTCAGAGGAAATTAATCTTTCGTTTTTGCTTTATCTGTGTCTGAGATTTTAAACCCTTGTTTTTTTCTGGCTACTGCATTTTCTCCCGGCTCATTGTCTTCTCTCCCTCCTGCTGTCTCCGACTTCCTCTCGCCTATATCTCTCTGGTTCAGGAGCGCTGTTTGATTGATGCTGTACTGCAGGCTGATACACAGACAGCTTTACTGGCAGCAGATGTGTGGTGCTTTACAGCACGGTGAGTGTCAGAAGTAATGCAATTTACATCATGTCTAAAGTGGGGTTTTACTTGCATAAGTAGTGGGTATTTTCTTGGTTCTCTGTGTGCCATGCTGCAGTATACTGTATCAAAATCCCTACATTTCAGGCCCCTTTATATTTACCACAGTTACTGTTTTAGCAGCATCTGATTGTGAGCATTTTTGCAATTTTTTTTTCTATCCTACTGTTGATTGTCTTCTGTCACTTTAGGTATGGGACAGCAGAACTTTGTCTACATCATGTCCTCCTCATCGCTCAGCTGGTAAGTAGAAACTAAATACTGCATAGTACAGTTAAGAGAATACATTTTGGCATCTTGTTTTATTGTAATTTCAAATACTAAGTGGTAATTCCAGTTGAACCTTGTAGACTGTGACAGGACACCTTTTCATAATGTGAACACATTAAGTCGCATCCCTCACTGACACATTGGCCCTCACCTTCTCTCTGCTTCTTTCTCTTCTCCTTTAGGTGAAAACCTGCACCACTGAGTGTTACCAGTCATTGCACCTTGGCCTGCTGCTCAGACGCATGGTTTTCCTTATGACACCAAACCACCAGGTTAGAAACCCTGGGAACTGGAAATTGCATATCCTTATGAATTCATGAAATAGTCTGAAAAATCAAGTACTGTATCCACAGTAGTTAAACATTTAGAGGCATTAGTCCTCACATTTGTGTTCTGTAATGCAAAAAACCAAAACAAGGAAAAAATCCACAAAAGTTCTACATACAGTACATGTAGGTGACATGAAAACTCAACAAAGTTAGCTGTTGGGTCACAAGAACAGCTTCATTGCTCCTTGGTGTAGAGCCTACAGGTTGAGACCTGGTGACTGGACTGTGAATGCCACAGTGTAGGAGTTAGGGCTGCACAATTATGGCACAAATTATCATTTTTGTTTTAGTCAGTATTGAGATTGTGAATATTCAACATGAATTCAACTGAAAAACAAGTATTTCATCCACATAAATGCTATTGACAGTTCAGAGAAATTACTTAATAACCTAAAAGATTTGTTGGGCTCACCATGGCACAGCCTCATCTCTCTCTCATAATATTAAGGCTACATACACTCGGTTCTTTTTAGCTTGTTCATAAGTTAGCTTTTAGTTCAACAAGCTTCCGATGGTTAACACAAACTGGCGGTGGATGACAGACTGTGGTCAGAGTTGGAAATAAAATGTCTCTGCAAGTTTGTGCTTGTTTAGTGGGTGTTTTGATAAATTACTTTTACTGTCTTTTTACTCACTGAGGTTTTATTACATATACACTAACATTCTCAGATGTCATCAATTCAAGGAATGTTTCATTTCACCTGATGCAGAGCGCTGAAGTGCTGGATTTATAACAAGACAAAACGAGAGCATCATTGTGAAACATAATGTGAAACAATCATTTTTATTTATTATTTTGTTTTTAGAATTGTTTGAAGCCAGAATTGTAATATAAAATAAAATGTGATGAACTGCCTGACCTTAATAGGAGTCACAATTTTTATTCTCATTCCATACAGTGACACATTGATCGGATTATTTTGCATTTGTTGGTTTCTCCGCTCCTTTACACTGATCTGTACTAACCCCCAGAAAACTACCAGTCTGTAGTCCTAGTTTCTGACTTTGAATAATGCTTGTTGATTGTGTCCATAAAAATACTTTAAACTGTACAAGATCATAACCTTGATATAAGGTGATTTTTAAATTTTTTTTTTATTTTTGTTTTTCCAGATGGAACTGGTGATGCGTTACCCACCATCTGAGGTGGAAAACCTTCCAGTGTGGCAGCATATCCTTCTCAGAGCTCTTTCACATGATGCCCGTCGTCATGTAGAGGCTGACATCACTGGCTTCACTCAAAAAGCTCTGACTGACTGGGAGAATGGAGGATACAAACTGGGACAAGTGAACAAAGTGGTGAGGACAACCTCATATTTGGGATGTCATGGGGGTGTAGCAACCAGTCAGTTTTCTCACACGGTGGCGCGGTGGTTAGCACCGTTGCCTCACAGCGAGAAGGTTCTGGGTTCGGGCCCCACCCGGGACCTTTCTGTGTGGAGTTTGCATGTTCTCCCCGTGCTTGCGTGGGTTCTCTCCGGGTACTCCAGCTTCCTCCCACAGTCCAAAGACATGCAGCTTAGGTTGATTGGTGTCTCTAAATTGCCCATAGGAGTGAGTGTG